TAATATAGTTTCCTGCCAAGTGAGTTACACAAACACTTACAAAAATCCATATAAGAAAATGGTATTTTGGTTCAATCCCCTTGCTGTTCTCTTGTGCATCTAATGCTTAGGACATTACTAAGCATGAGATGAAGAAGAGAACAGCAAGGTGAATGATCCAAAATAGTAATGCCCTAATGGGTCCATATTTGGACACAATGTTAATCTATGTATGAATCGCATGCACATCAGCTGAAATCAGAATCTGTTGTTTCATCCGGAGAGCCACAAATCCTCACCACTTGGATAAATAGTAATGAAATTGCACTCCTGTCAAAACTACTGTATATACAGTAAATACAAGAAAAGGAAGAACACTGGATTCCATCCTGACAACTGGTTTATTCCGAGTCCCACTGAAATAACTCTGAATAGTTATGGCTGACTTCTCACTAATTTCAAAGACAAACAAGCAGAATTGATTTTAAATGGCTTTACCCACCCAGTGGATTCAGCAAAATATTACTTCAGTTTATGATTGTCCTTCGCCACTGGTGGTGGATCAACAAACCAGCCTTCCATTTTTTTCTGTTTGTTTTTATAAAACTGAAATAGACACTTATAAAAGCTGTTAGGTGAGAAAAGGTCTTTTGCTCTTCCGGTTCATTGATTTCTACAACAAACCTTCTGCACATGTTCAAAGCAGACCAAAGTATTGGAACTTGTTCTCGCCACCCAGTTATCTATCTAAAAACGGTCCAAAAATCCATATTCCAGGAGTTTAATTGTGCAGGCTGCCAACATCAACACACCAACAGCTATTCAAGCATATTAGGCAATACAAAATTCTTAATATTCCTATGTTCTTCAACTCATAGAATGCTTTGTATCAGAATAAGAGGCAATACAGATCCATTTGAAATAGGGAGAAATGCAGTCTCCCGAGCCTTTTCAAGGGTTTCCTTTTCTCAAGAAACACACAGCCCCCCATTATTTGATTAAATGGCCACCCAACTCAAGTTGGGCAGCACACAACTTTAAAATAAATAAAAATGCATAAGTTGCTAAAATAAAACCAAAGTAAAAAAACACAACTGCCAGAGATCATAAAATGCTCTCAATACAACCAGGATTATGAACCGGTCACAAGAGGGCAGTAAATGTCTTTCTCTGAAGCACTTTCAACCAAAACCACTAGATATGATGGCGTGTCTGATACTGCTAATGCTCAGCTGCATTTTTATATCATTTTGATGCTTTCCATTTGTTATTTGCATCATGAACAGTTGTGTTTGCATGGCATCAGATCTAGTCAGTCTCTCGATCCAGAGAGAATTATTTATGCCTTTATGTCAGCAGAGCACAGTCTCAGGTGCACAGAACAAATATGGAGCAGAGTTCTCACTGTCACTCATGCTCTTGCGGTCATCGTCTATTTGGATTTCCATAATGCACCATATGTGAGGCTGCCCTTGAAGAATATTCAGAAAATTCACTTGGTGCAAACTGCAGCGGCACAAGCAAGTATGTGTGCCCCTATTACAGTAGACATTACACCTCTACTCTGCTAACTGCTTCATGGCATGGGCAGGGTTATTTACATATAACCTTTAGCTATGCTGGCTAGGAACTTTGGGAATTGTGGTCCCAATATACAGGGATAAGCCAAAATTACTAAGAGCTGCCTCAACATGAAGGGCAGTAATAAAGAAAGATCTGTAGACAGGATATTAGGAGCCATTAACAGAATTCCAGGCCCCTCTGCAAACTACCCAGATTCTTTTAATGATATATAGAAATCTGAACAGTTGTACAGTCAATACAAAATTTATATTGTGATGTGCTCTTAGAAGTTTAGGTTTTTTTTTCTGAAATATTAACATGGTGACTTTGTCATTGAAGGCATTGAACCCCTGGTTATCCACGATTAGGAATGTTTGTTATAGCAAGGACTTTGAAACATGTTTGCATAAAAACAGCTAGTGGTTAGGTAATATTCTCTAGGTGAGGAAATTGTGGAATCAAGCATAGCTAACTGGGGCTAGCCAAATAAATAGTGCAAATAAAAGAACAGATATGTACAGCAGAGATGCAAAACTGGAGATTTTATTTGTTTCAAAATATTAGCCTTATTGAGGTGTTACAGATTTTAGTAACAGATGCAGGACCAAATAAGAACAGTATTCACAACATGATAAAATGGATTTTCTTCCATAACATGTATCTTTAATTATGTATATACTTTCTATGTACACACAAACAGTATATCTTCCCCCAAAAATGATCCAATTCTCAAAGGCATGATGGCAAACTAGGAATATGGACTTATGATGGATAGGGGAATTAAAGTCATAATTTTACTTGAAATGCAATTGGAAATATGGTCCACTGAAATTAATGGAACATATTTTAAATAAACTGTATTGGACTAAAATGCAATGGCCTTTGACAAGTTTTCAAACTCAAGCAGTGGGGTTTGTTTTTGGTAAACCTAAGTCACAAGGTATAATTATTGCATGTAACAAATTTACACAAAACAATACCACTTTAATAATTGGGCACAATATTCTTAATTTACACAGAAATCTTTGAGTAAAAATGATTATTAAATAGGATAGATTATAGAAAGAAGGCTATTATGATATAGCTTTAGAAAGAGGGTTTATAATATAACTGCTGTGAAGAAAATAAGAAACCAGTTCTTTGTATTTTTTTCTTTCTTTTCTATTTTTCTTCAATTTTGTTTCTTTTCTTGAATTCTTTGTTTATTTCTTTCTCTTTTTTCCTTCCTTTATATTATTTTTTAATTTTACTTATCTTGATTTGTTAATCGCTTACAAGATAATAGGTATAAGTATATACATAGTTATGAATACATGAAATGGGTACACATAAGAAAAATAAAAGAAACAATAGGACAGGGACGGTGGGCACATTGGTGCGCTTATGCACACCCCCTACAGACCTCTTAGGAAAGGGGTGAGGTCAATAGTAGACAGTCTAAAGTTTTTGAGGTTTGGGGAAGAAACCACAGAGTCAGGTAGAGTATTCCGGACATTGACCACTCTGTTGCTGAAGTCGTATTTCCTGCAATCAAGTTTGGTGTGGTTAACCTTGAGTTTGTATCTATTGTGTGCTCTTGTGTTGTTATGGTTGAAGCTGAAGTATTCATTGACAGGTTAGTCATTGCAATGTATGATTTTATATACCATACTTAAATCAGACCGAAGACAGCGTAATTCAAGGTTTTCTAGGTCTAGAATTTCAAATCTGGTGGCATAAGGTATTCTACAACAAGTAGAGGAGTGGAGAACTCTTCTTGTGAAATATTTCTGGACTTTCTCAACTGTGCTAATATCAGATACGTAATGTGGGTTCCAGACTGATGAGCTGTATTCGAGTATTGGTCTAGCAAATGTTTTGTATGCTCTAGTTAGTAGCGTGATATTACCAGAGAAAAAGCCACGTAGGATTAGGTTAACAAGTCTTAATGCCTTTTTGGCTATGTCGTTACAGTGGGCTCTAGCACTTAGATAATTAGAGATGAGTATTCCAAGGTCCTTTACAGAGCTTGGATCATCAACCAGGACTTGACTATTCAGCTTGTATTTTATTTTCTGATTTTTTTGCTAATATGTAAGACAGCATTTATTTGTTGAGATTTAAAGTTGCCATTTGTTTGACCATTCTGATACATAGTCAAGGTCTTTTTGAAGGGTAGCAGTATTGTCTGTGGTATTGGACAGCTTTACATCATCAGCGAAGAGAACGCAGTTGCTCTTAATATAATCACAGAGGTCATTTATGTAGAGTATGAAGAGAGTTGGTCCTAGAACGCTGCCTTGGGGAACACCACTGTTGACAGGTACAGAATTTGATAGGATGCTCCCAATTTTGACCATTTGTTGTCTGTTTGACAGGAATGCTTCTATCCAGTTATGCAGTTGTCCAGAGATATCATAAGATTTTAGTTTTATTAGTAGTTTGTCATGTACCACTGAATCAAAGTCTTTACAGAAGTCTTTATCTTTAGTTTTTATCTTTAGTTTTTATCTTCTTTTTAAAAGCTTCACAATGTATGTAAAAAAAAGGAAATCTTTGGATTTTGGAAAGGAAAGCTTGGATATTGATAATCCCATCAAATAATTCTATACAGCACTGAAGTTGTATCAATGTTAATTCAAAAAGCTTGTTGCCAGCATATTTGCCCTTGCTCCTGTATCTTGAAAGTCACCTCAAGACAAAGCAATTAAGCAGATGAAAATTTCTTGAGAAGAGAGCCAATCATAAATAAGGTTTTCTTATGAGCCAAAAGCAATTCAATTCATCTATGCTTTAAAAGATTGGTAGATTTAGTTCATGGCTTCTCTTCTGACTGCTGAGGACACCTTTGCCAAATTGTTTTAATGTGAGGCTATCCAAAACACGAATGCTTTGTTGTGGCCAGTAGAATATAAGCCATGGCTTTACATCCAAATGGGGCAAACCAACTTAACTATTGAGCTATGCCAAGTGCAGGTAGGAAGCCTACAAATTCTGGAATAACAGTCACTGTTCTTTTTCAACCTGGTAAACCAATATAGGTCATATTTATGGTGTGGAATGATACAGAACTCAGTGTAACATTTACATTTTAAAAGAAAATGATCATTACTAAAGGGAGGGAAAGGAGATACTTGAAAGTTGTCGCCATTTTAATGCTAGAGCCTCTACCCTGTGGTATGTTCCACATGAGACAGAAAGCAGGAAGAAAAAAATCTGGGAAAAGTGGGGGAAACAAGAAGCAAAGCTACACCTTTTGATTTCTACATAGCAACTCTAATTAGCCAACTGCAATAAGGCCTATGTTACCTCTCAATGGGATGATCATAGCAGTCTTGAGAAGAAATTAACAGAGTTGTTGACAGAAGAGAAGTGACTCTTTTCTGGAAACTAACATGACAAACATGTGGTAAGCTAAAAGCCCACTAGCATGAATTTGCAACCACTGAATCTTCTATTTCAATCTACATGACTAGTAAGACTTGTTCTCAGCAGATGCAGTCCACATTATACTACCACAAACTTTTAATCCCATTATGGTTTATTATTTTTATATCATTTGTTTCAAAGTAATGTTCATTTAGAAAATGAAATATTTCTATACACTAAACAAAGTAACGTACAAAAATAGCTATGAAGGAGCTTAACATTTGACTTGTAGGAACACAAACTAACATGCAACTCTTAAAAACACTAATTAAGAAACAATAGGGAATAATGGAGGGTTTAAAAAAAAAACCCTTCAGAGTCTATAAATATTCCCAATGTGAACTTCTATCTCACATTCCTATAGATGATTATTATTACTAATGGTTGGTTGCACAGTCACCCAAATGTTTAGACTGGATTTTGCATTTTTATCCACTTATCAGGTCCTTTCTAAGTATCTGGGCTAGGCAGATGTTGTTTGACAGTATTAAAGGTATTGTCATTATGGATGTAAACTGTAATTACAAATTATCATTATTCCATTTATATGACTTATTTCCAACAAAGACCATGGTGTATTATTTTGCTTCTTGAAGGAAAGGAGACAAAAATGGCAATCGGTGTTGTCTCAAAGACTTTGTCTTGGAAAAGAAATAAATATGCTGTAGCCCAACTGGGGCTAAATATGTGAGGAAAAATAAGCACAGGAAGGGAAAAGTGGTTCTGCTACATCATGAGAAAAGACTCCTCATTCTGGGCCTGTTTCATGTAAAAACATGTGGCCCTTCATATCAAGAGGAAAGTCCAGAAAGGGATATTCTGTGTTATCATAGCTGATATATTGCAATCATCTTCTTTAAACTGTTCCATTTCCCTAAAGAACAAAGAAAAATAGATGTTGACTACTGTTAGTCATAGTTTAACATTCAGACAGCATTTTATTGCAGTAAGAAACCCAGGTAAAATTCACCCTGTAAGACTTAATTTAGTAGCCCTCTTTTATGCCCAAAGGTGAGTCTGAGGGTCAAATTCCAATGTGAAAATAGTCCTAATGTGGCAAAACCTCATCTTCCCAGTGGTTCCTTCACCCTGCCTTGAAAATGAGGTCAGAAAAGTTGACATCCTCACACAAGGGCAGGAGTTATGATTTTGACTGCTGGTGTTAGGGGAGTGAGGTGTTGCCCACTTTCTGCTGCTGCTTCTTTCCACCAAACCCTCCAAGAATGGATCCTTCACCACCTCCCACCACAACAGCCTCACTGCTGTTGTGGTGGGAAAAGAACGCTCCTCTGATTGGGGTTAAGTGACAGGATGGCCTTGAGATGGTGTGAGGACAAGTTCTTAATGACTGGTAAACCTGCCTTGTGAATTATCTTGGATGGAGGCTTGGCATGCACAAATTAGAAAAGGAAGTTTCTATGAAAGGGGATCAAGGATTGCCACATACTAATTTTTGTTCAGAATGCCATTAAAATAGAGCTACAGTACTAGAAGTTAGGGATGCGGTGGCTCAGTGGCTAAGACATTGAGCTTGTCAATCAGAAAGGTTGGCAGTTCAGTGGTTCGAATCTCTAGCAATGCATAATGGAGTGAACTCTCATTATTTTTCCCAGCTTCTGCCAACCTAGCAGTTCAAAAGCATGTAAAAATGCAAGTAGAAAAATAAGGACCACTTTGGTGGGAGGGTAACAGCATTCCATGCACCTTAGGCGTTTAGTCATGCCAGCCACATGACCACGGAAACATCTTTGGACAGCACTGGCTCTTCGGCTTTGTAATGGAGATGAGCATCGCCCCCAGAGCCAGAAACAACTAGCACATATGTGCAAGGGGAACCTTTATCTTTACCTTTACTAGAAGTTAATTTAAGATCTAGGCTTACGAACTAAATTATGATGATTAATTAAATTATGGCACAAATAATATGTATGCATAAGGACATGTTTTACAGTAGCTACCCATTTTGGCTTTTGTCATGTTTTAAATTTCAAATACTTTTTTTAAAAAGTCTGATAAATAACATAATTCTATTGCAAAGTTGTGGAAGCAAATACGTTTTTTCTTATAACACTTCTACACAACTTAGCAACTTACAAGTCACCGTAACAACAAAGCAGTTGTGCTTTGGCTTAAGTATTCTCTCTGAAAATAGAATTATAGATTTAGAAAACTTATTTAGGCCACTGAGTGTCATCCTGTGCAGTATATAAGAATTAAAATTAAAGTATTACTAAGAGATGACTGTTCAGTCAGCCTCTGGTAGATAGATCCTATGAAAGAGAAGCTTTCAGTTTCTTAGATTCCACCGTCAATCTGAATTTACCACCAGAAAGTCTTTTCTGATACTCAAAGAGAAACTGTTGTCTTGTCAATTTGTCTTGTTGTCTTGTCAAGTACTTAAGAAAACACAATAATAGCAATAGCACTTAGATTTACATAGTTTTATAGTACTTTACAGCCCACTCTGAGCGGTTTTTTACAGAGTTAACCTATTGCCCCCAACAATTTGGGTCCTCATTTTACCCACCTTGGAAGGATGGAAGGCTGAGTCTCTCTTGAGCCTGGTAAGATTTGAACTGCCAAATTGCAGGCAGCCAGCAGAAGTAGCCTGCAGTACTGCACTCTTACCACTGCACCACCATATAATAAGCAATAAGCAAACAATAGCAAATCAACACGGACAGTGAGAAGCTGGCATACTGGAATATGAAAGCATTCTTACCCCGCAGCACCCACAACATTTACAGTCTCCGCAGATAGCTCCAAAGAGACCATTGATTGCCTGAATGGCACACAAGATCAGTTGAATTCCACTCATTAACAGAAGCAGAGAGAAGAGTGTCAGATTCCAGGGCACAATGGATTTTGGGAGCTGGCATGTCTTCCATAAACTATGATCCTCAAGGTAATTCCTGAGGGGAGAAAAAGAATATGTCTCTGTTATAGAAGCCATTGCCTACATTTTATGTTTACTTTCCTAGTGCATGCATGTGCTATAATCCAGGATAAAATAGTATTGATCTGATGGTAATCTCTGGGTTCTAATAAAATAAAACTGATACCCATTTGAGAAAGGATTAAGCTGTACCTTGCTGGACACAATGAATTACCAGAACTTTATGGCTGGTGAAATATCTCCCACCCTCTCAACAATTTTTTTCAGAATTGTTTCCATACAGTCTGCATGGAACAGATTTTTTTTTTTAAAAAAAGCCTCCTTCAGTTACATTTTGGCCAAGTTTAATTTATGAAAAATGTGGCCCATCAAATCTGGAAAGAAAATGATTAGTCAGGGAAAGACTGCTGAAATTGAATAATAAGAATCAAGGTTCCTTTATTGTCCAACTGGGTTAGTCCACTGCCCGAAGGATTCACCAGAATTGTTCTCTTAATTTATTTATCAGTAAGAATGAAACAGTCCAGTAAAGTTTTTAAGGGATCTAATGATGGCAAATTTATAAGCTAAAATAAATAAATATTTCAAATAAATCTGTGGCTGTATCTAATGATGTTCACATAGATACAGTGATAGAGAACTTGAAACCATTATCAATAAGAGAAAGCAATACCTGGTGTTTGCAAATGATTTTAGTCCAATGTTTCTGACAGATTTTGAGAGCTGAGACTAATCCTGGGGTGCACAATATTGGCATAGTACTTCTGTGAGTTTGTATGGAAATATGTATTTCTTTTAAAATTACCTTATTTTGTCCAATCAGCAGAACTCAGATAATGATAAGTTTCTACCGAAGTTTCCTTATTTATATCTGTTGGAATGATAAATTTCAGGAAAGGTACCAGCCATCTTTATTTATTTTTTCCCCCTGTGGTACACTTAACACAAAATGTACTTTGCCATTTCTATATTCAAAGAACAAATCAATCTAGAGTTCTCACTTGAAGCACAAACCAACAGACTCAAATTGCTATATTTTCAATATATTATGCAAAGACGTGGGTCTCTTGAGTAGTCTTTAATGGTGGGAAAGGCGGAAGGAATGGAAAGAAGAGAATGACCGGTAGTGTGGTGAATGGTCTCAATTACAGCAGTGATGGATACACTTTTGGAAGACCAAAAGGGCCACTTTATTGCTAGAACATCCTGGACAAGGTCTATCTATGTGGTCATTAAAAGTCAACGCTGACTTATGGCACATAACTAATCTTTTCTATATAGTCTTATAAATTTTTATCTTTTTAAGTGAGATTACAGCATGCCTTCCCGAGCTCTCCCCAGCAAGGTGTCCTCAGATTAGTAGGAGTACAATACCTCCCCTCATGAGGAAGATGCAGTCCCACCAGTGGTGGGATTCAAAACTTTTTACTACCGGTTCTGTGAGCGTGGCTTGGTGGGAGTGGCAGGGGAAGGATACTGTAAAATCTCCAGTCAGAGGTGGTATTTGCCGTTTCTCTGAACTACTCCGAATTTCTGCTACTGGTTCTCTAGAACTGGTCAGAACCTGCTGAATACTACCTCTGAGTCCCACATATCTGAACAGCATTGACTGAAAAAGGCTGTCTTTTAGTAATATCACACAATGTCAACCATGTTGCTACATAATGGCTAAATAAGAATAGCAATAACAATAATGCCTATCCCAGATCCTTGGGAAGGACACCATAGGATGAAAAAAAAATCCAGCCTGAACACATGGCTGACTGTGATGAAACATAATAGTACCCAACAACAACAGGGTTAAAATGATCTTACCCATTATTAAACGGATATATCCACTGGGTACTATTGCCGATATCAATGTTACACTTTGGGCCTCTGTTCAAAGCCAAAACTGACACAGCGAAATTGTATCCAGCTCCCACAATTCCAACTGCTGCAAATATTATAGAACTAAACATCTGCCAACAAGAAAAGAAAGGAAGAGATCAAATCTGACACTTGCATGTTTATATAATTAGCTGGTTTATTTCAGTCACAAATGGAATATGAAAAAGTAAAGAAATCACTACCTCTAAATCTACTGAAATTTTCTTAATTCAGAGATCATATGGAACTTCATGACAGAAATTCACGACAAAGCATGAACTTCAAAATCTTTACAAATTAAATTCAATGGACTAAAGTAGTTGGCCTTATAGGAAAGCTGAGTGATACACTCTAGTTAAGACCTCAGTCCAGAGTTTTTAACTTTTAATTTGTTTTTAATGAATCATTTTTATGTCTCTTTCTCCTAGGGTACAAAGCCAAATATTTAGTCTTCTTTACTTCATGCATCTGATCACCACTTGCCAAAATTTGTTTCAAATACCCCAAAATAATTGTTAAGATATTTGATCAATTTAACTTTCAGTGTTCTGGATGTAAACCCACAAAGCCCCACCACATTGCAACTAGATTACAATTGTTAATCTAGGAGAAGGGAGAAATAATTAAACATATACGGGGAAACTGTACTAACTAGCTAATTAATGAATTAGCTTATTACAATCCACATTCCATTTAATTAAATCATGTTTTGTCCTGGCCCCCATCCCTTTGGGGAAATAGCATCAGGGAAAGGGTAAAAAAAGAGTCAGGCTATGGAATCTAGTTTAGAAAAAAAAGGCAGCAAAATGATCAAGGGGTGGAACCGTGATCCAGGATAACAAAATCATAGATACACCAGGAAAAATGGTTAGAAAAAGGGGTTGTAAAATCCTTTTCCTATGATAATAATACAATTGAGAATCATCCAACTTATTAGCAAGGGATGTGGAGTTTCCCCCATCACATAATTGCTTTATAGAATTTTCTGCCATCCTAAAAAAATCTCAAATACAGAGTGCATCTAAGAAATCTAAGATTACGTATTGTTGTCATTGAGCCACA